TAATGAAAATAAAATACATAATTTAAAATCAACCAAAAATGAAATACAAAATTAATTATAAATAGTTCAACTTTTAGGTTAAATGTGTTAACCTTTAATGTCATAAATAAATAATAAAAATTAATAAATAAAAAAATACAAAAATAAAAAAATACATAAATTTTGCAAAAAAAAAAAGCATCCAGACACATATATGATATCATGTGTTTATCATATTAAACAAGAAGTAAGTGTGGCATATCATAACTATTTTTACACACAAAAATACAAAAAAAAAGAAAAAATGAACACATTTATAATTATATATTTACACTACTATTAAAAATATGAATATGATTGTGAAACTTTCTTTTGATTTTTGGGTCATCAATTCAACCATCTACTTTGAGTAGGTCAAACCAGCAAGATGTAAAATATAATGTAACATTTTATTATGACATTAGGATTTGGTTAAACCCATCATGCATTATTAGGAGAGGGGAGTGTAAGAATTTGAGAATGAGACAGATGGTTAAAGCTGAGAAGTGAGAAAAAAGAAGAAGAAGAAAAAATAACCGCCAACAACGGCTATCTCCATGTTCATTATCACCGCCACTTCAACACCGTTTGCCCTCTTCCTACATCTCTCTAATTCTCTCTTAGACCCCAGATCGTTTGGTTCATTGGTGTATCTCAGATTTCTAATATAAGATTGGTGTTTAATCTCTCATCTCTTGCATTGGTTTTTCGATTTCTTAATTGGAGTTGCAATTCTTTTGTTACAACTTAAAAACAATCACAAAAATGAGAAAACTCAAAATCAAAATAGAAAAACTAAAAACCCTAACTAATTTTGGCCAATGGGAATAACTGAACAAGATTACGAGATATGCAAGTTTTTTTAATTTTTTAATTGTTTACTTTTTTAATTTTCTAATTTCTATTTTAAAATAAATAAAAAATTTGGAATTAGTTAGAAAGCAACCCGAGAATTATTAACTGGGTTGAATATTTTAATGGTTAAACCACTTGGGTCAATGGTTTTTTGACCATTTCAAAGGTCTTTTGTAAAATAGCGGTTTAGGGCCAAAACAAAATTAGTGACTTGACTGGTTCCCAAGACAAATGGTTTGACCGTTCAGTTTGGTTTGGTTTTTAAAATAGTGACTAAAATACTCATTTTTTAATGTATTCCCTATTTAATTGTAAGGTTTAAATTGTAAATTGAACTACTACTTTTCATCTCATTCAATTACCTCTATTTAAATCTTACATTTTTTATAAATGAACAAAAGATAAAAGATAAAACACTACAAAAAATAAGAGTATATCCAAGCATGTAGGACTGCTAATGATACTTAAAACTTCATAATTTGATATCAAATTTGGATTTTGCAATCTGCATCTAATTAATGATAAAACAAAAAATAAAATACATAAAGTTTATAGAAAAATTTGGATATATTATTACTATAATTATCATCATCTAGAATTGTCACTTGCAAAATATGTGCACACTCACTAGTGTGATTAACAAGACTTGAACCCATGAAATCTTGTTTGTATATATTGCTTAATTACCACTAATCCACCTCTTTACTTATGTTAATGAATGACTTTTTATTGTACAAATTACTTTATTATACATGTATTTTAAAGAAAATGTAAATTACAAGACTTGAACCCTAGTCATTTGCTTATTTGTCATCCATCCACAATATTTAAATATATTAAAAGTTGTAAAATATATTAAATATAGCATTTATATGACCTATTGTATATATGTATATGCCATGCCATCATGATTTGACCTCTAATTTGACCCTAGTTGAACCTCTAACCCGTGAGCCTCTCCCTTCTCCAATTCTATGCCTGGTTCAGTTCTCTAAGCATTGGTAACTGATGAGGGGTAATTTGGCCCGATCTCCTAGCACGCGGACACGTGGAAGCAACTTGATGTCGTGGATGATGATTCAACATTCCCTGGGATCACGCTGGGTACATCGGGTCGTGGCTTGATGATTCAACAACAGGCCAGGTCAGCTCGGGTACCTCGGGCACCTCCGCCAGGACCGAGGTCCGAGTAGTTTGTGATGGCCCAACCTACCGAGGTGACATGTAGCCAACTTCTAGAAGATAACCAGTTGTCTCCAACTTCTCTGGGATCACGTCGCACGCCTTATCCTCATCCCGTCCGGATCGGATGAACTAATAAGCCTTATCAGCTCACACGAGGTCCACCTCCAAGTGCGGAATGAATTCCTAGTAATGCGGGTCGGGGATCCCGGAGTTGTTTCGTAAGACCTATGGCAATTCGCCTATATAAGGCCTTCAACCCCAACATTATAAGGTATGCGTGATTATTGCTCACTAGTTTTCTAGCTTACAAGCCTTCAGCTCGCATATAATGCTAACTTAAGCATCAGAGTGCCCACACCGGATAAGCCACCCCGGGTCCTCTAAGTGTTCTTCTCTTGCAATTCGACTGTCCAACCAAGCGGATCGATGTCTGAGCTGCCATCCAGCCAGGAGCATCCAGATCGTGCACCATCAGTAACAATAAATATTATTCACTCCTATAATTAAATAGTTAAGTTGCCCCTCCATTTACTTTCTTGATATAAAGACATTATAGAATAATTCATAATACCCATATCAATTTTAATTCAAAACTGATAATGAGGAGATGAAATGAAATATGCTAGATTCATAAAAAAAACCATTTTTCTGGGTAAATGGACTCTTGAAAATACTTGGAGACCCTTATTTTAGTAAATCAAAGAGGAGACGTCTTATAGATTAAAGCTACAAAGATCAATATCAATTTAAACATGATAAAGAGTTGAAATTTGCAAATTCATGTAAACTTGGGGACCCCTATTTTAGTAATTCAAAGAGGAGTTAATTCTATCAAAATACTGATAATTGCTTGGAGTTTAGAGATAATCCTTGGAATATTAAAGCCAGATTCCTCAATTTCAATCTACATTGATTAGTCTTGACCAATTCATGTTGGCATATGGCTATAATGGACTTGAAGCCAATCACTTGTAATGGATTCTACACTCTATTACTAGAACTTTGAATTTCTTTAAGTTATATTACTATTTCTTTTTGTTTTTTAACCACTTAATTTTTTCAATTTTAATTGTTCTTGTTATTAATTCATTTGCTTTGTCAAATTTGTATAAAAATGTCAAAAAGGAGTAATCAAGGAAGGGAAAGCAACCAAAAAGGACTTGACATGGAAATATGGAACATAAATGGAAGCATTAAAGAGTGGAAAGCCATTACACACACATATATATAAAGTACAATTTTTGTGATAAACAAAATGTAGCTCCATGCAAAAGGGCTCCTCTTATAAGGGAATAGATTTATATAAAACTCAAGTATTACCACGGACAAACCATAGTAGCAGGACTACACACTTTGTGCTCATCTAGTTAGTAGCACTTGTCTAAGGAGGACTACAGACTCTCCCTACAGAGGCCAGCCATGAATACCCTTCACACTTAAACCTAGTTGAAAGAACACTTTGCAGCACCAACAATACAACTAGTAGCAATAGCAACAAGAGCATTGGAGTCCAAATCTATGGCTCAAGTGTCGATTTACTACCACTGAGACTAAGAACCAACTGTTAGGCCATCCTGAGAGCAAGAGCACCACCAACTTGATTCCCTATCCCTCAAAAACTTCACCAAGAATGCCACTGGCTCCACCTCTATCCCTATCCCTATCACTAACATCTCAAGTCCTAACAACATCAAATCTAAGATCGCCAGTAAGAGGTAACTAGTGTGATCGCCTACAACAGGTGACTAAGGAAGAACTATTGGATTGCCTCTAGTCAGTTGTTGGAGGCAGTTCAAGTAGCAAATTTTATCAATCTTTATACTAGAAGCCCTATTGTCAATGCATTGCCTAGAAACCCTACCCCTAGGGATGCTTTCCACCTTTTTGTTGGCAATAGTATAATAACATCAAAGGCAACGCTAGGGAGCACATCAACAAGTTCGAGCATGCTCTCAGCCCATTTTCCATTAATGAAGATATGAAGGTCAATGAGTTTCTAAGCCTTTGGCTCAATGATAATCCTCTAGGAATTGTCTCAAAGGGCACCAAGCTACCAAAAGACCCAATAACTCCAGAGGACTTTGGCTTGACAATAAACCTCTGGGCACTATTTAACAAGCACAAACTTTGCAAAAGACCAGTAACTCTGGGGGGCCTTGACTTGATAGTAATCCTTTGGGCTACTAACTTGTTTTTATCTCAGCTATCAGATCAGCCTATGATGAACTTTTTTGTGGCACAAACAAACTATCAACACAAAAAAAATATAAACATCTTCCCATAATGAACAAACCTCCTACGATATACGATGCTTATAATTTTGCTCCACGGAATCACATAAGTAGCTACCATGACACTTGAATAATGCCATACAAAATTCAATAGTAGCTTCACAAGTACAACCACAATCAGATTGCGACATGGCAAAAAGTTATCTCCTACAAGAATATCATAACATACAAGTTACCTCCCCTTGATGCATCAAGCTCTTCACAAAGCATTTTGCAGACTATAATGGACCACAGGTCTCATCAATTCCCTCCTCAAGTAAGTCATCATGCACTTCTCTGATTTAAATTTCTGAATACAATATTCGTTGTTCTTGAATTTTCAACAATGAGCCCTTAAAGGATTTTTCATATATAAAATCGTTACACACCATCAATCAAGGCACAAAATGTTACTACCGCGAAGTGGATGGGACCCCACTACAAAATTAAGGCAAAGAATATGCATTCCCCGTAAAATCAAAGTGAACCGCAAATCATGCACATGGTGATCATACTTGGGGAAAATATTATACACAAATTCTTTCCTAGAACTTTTCTAGAAGCCATTACAAGCTAGCATTTTGCTCATATTAATAGTATAATAGGAATCATGCAAAGATTATTTTATTCATGAATATATATTATATAATATGAATACAAAAGGTACATTACCTCTTCAATAGTGAATGGTGAGACTCCCCATCCCTCAATATAAGGCTCCTTAACATTTTGGTTTCCTTTATCCATGACCAAATATAATATGTACAAACAACTTCCCTAAGTAAGGAACATAACCCTTCGATGCTCGAGCCTTTGGATCTCCATAACAAGGATGCCCAAGACCAACACTCCATGTATGGGAGTTTAGACTGATAGGTCCCTTAGCACCTTGAAGATCCCTCCCAAAACCCTTCCCTTGCTCATACCCTTAGGACTGCATAATATAAATTGGTCCAATCTAGAATAGGCCTGCTCTTGTAGCTATGTTGGCTTCCTCCTTTAGGTCTCTAGCAGTAGATAATCTTAATTGAGACAAGAAATTCTCCACAACTTTAAAGGCAAGCTCCAACCTAGATGTATCCATAGCCTCCATCTCTCGACGAGTTACATCAACACCAATCAAGTTCCTAGGTGGAACTATAGTATCTAGAGGAGGAACCTCACTTTTATTCATAGAGGGTATCTGTATAAGTAAGTAGCATCATAGTGAGAACATAATCACAAAAATATAACAATCATATAAGAACCAAAACAGTAGATGACCTGGAGACAAAGCAAACAAACTATGAACAAATGCAAGGTTTTTGTCAAAAATAGTATCCCGAGGATGGACCTCCTGCAAGTTAGAATTCTTATCCTACAAGGAAAGCATCATATAAATACAATAATACCTAAGCATAAAAGAATGAAAAAAACATAAAAATATCCTCACCACCGTGGAACTTGATGTAGGTGCATGTGGCATGCCTTGGATTACGCCACATAGCACCAGCCAAATGGGATCTTGACCGTCCATCCATAAATACCTCCAATCACTCCATGGCAAGGTCAGCTATAAAAGGAGGTGCCCAGCTCAAGGTAAATCCATCTTGCCCATTATTGCTCTCTTGCATTCCTACTCTCAAGAGACCTCGTCTAAGCTCTTAAGGACTAAGCTTTGAGCCCTCGTCTCAAGCCTAGCCCGACCCCTCTTCAAGCACTTAACTAACTTGACCGTTGAAGTCTCTGCCCTTGGGATAACACCCGGGGCCTTTGACGTGTACTCCTCCCCTCCTTGCAGATTGGACCCATCGGCCTCGGATGCTAGCAAAATTACTTTGTTGCCCTCAGCCCATCCTTGGCAGCAATAGAACTCTCTCCATATTTTGACTTCTTCATTGACCCCTTAATGGCAAGATCCATGGCCCTCTTCGCAAACTTCACTTTGATATACGAAAGCCTAGTGTCCACCACCACGACCTTCCCCTCTGCCTACTCCTCTCTACATTCTCCATCAGAGATAACAGAAGCTATAAACTCTATGTTGATCCCTTTCTCTAGCTCTAATTGAATCTATGACCACCTCACCAACAACATATCATCAACATCCTCCTCGAGCAGCTCCATGTCCTCCACATCTATAGAAACCACTAGGGTGATGGCAGTCTTGGTCTTGCCCTGCTTTACCCTCTTCAATGAAGACACTTCCAAAAGTAAACAAGCACCACTCACGAGCACAAGACACAATGGGGAAAGCCTTCAGTTGAGGGAAACACTTAATTTAACTGTGAGCATTGACAATGGTGAAGGGAAGGGAGAATCCATCATATGGATGGCCAAACCATGCAGGGTGGTTAGGGGAAATTTCAAAAATTTATTTTCTCCCTTTCAGGAATCGTATTCCTAGTTTTAGAAAAATTGCATTTTTCAATGGTCATTCTTGAAACAAACCGGACCAGATCTGAAACCAAAAGAATGGGAGAGCAATACATGATACGGAATCCACACATGTAGCTCCCAATGTAGGTGTTCACGCCCAAAGAGGGTACCAAAACCTGCTTCCACTGAAAATGGCGCAGCTTAAGATGAAGCAGGTTCAACAATGCAGCCCTTCAACAAGAACTACAATACTTCAGCAAGGATCAAGCAAGGGAGGGTGAGCTCGAAATCTGATATGATTTTCTAGCAAAATCATAGGTAGGAACAAATTTCTATCAATCCAAGAAATTAGAGATCGAATTAGGGTTGGGCGGCAAGAACAGAGGGAGAGAACTGAATGCAGAAAGGTGAAGATTAAAGCAGTTCGCCCCCTCTATTTATAAGCCTTCAAGATCAGCTCTCCTAATCCTATTAGGAGGAGTTCTTTGATCAAAATTTTTATTTGGATCTGAACTCTTAAGTGGATAAGACTTATCCTCTTATCCTCTTGCTGATCCAAACCCAGATCTAAACTCAAATTTGCCCAAGTCAGTCTTCTTAATTAATCTAGTTAATTATGGGCCTTAGGCCCATTAAGCTTGCAGGTTCACTTCCCTTTTAATTGTTGGCTAACTTGGCTCTATTTGTATGACGTGGGACCCTAACATTGATCTCACAAAATCTATATGGGTTCAGCCTAGCCTCTGTTATAAGGCCTAACTGAATTCACTATTGAACATAGTGAACCCCTGAGCCCATCAGTATGGGCTCTTAACGGGTCCAACATTTACACTAAGTGGTCCTTGAGTTCAGCCACCTTATGAAGGCCCAAGGACTATGGTCTTAAGTGACATTAGCCCATTAGGTATAAAAGCCCTAAATGGTCTTACACTTAACCTCTCAGCCCATAATGATCAAACACTGCCCGACAAGAGAGGACATCTCCCTCGGCTGCAAGGTACAGTGGTGCACTCTCTACTCGGATGGATCCTGTGAATTAAACTTTTTGCAAACTTTTTTCATAAAAATTCATATAAATATATTTTGCAAAAGCAAATCTCAAACACGGTTGAAATTGACTGTCGGCAGTTTTGGTTTCCATCAGAGAGAGTGCAGTCCCCGATCATTCACTTTGTCCGACAAAGGGGTTGATCCTATCACTATTATCACCTAATCGAGTGAATTCTCAGACTGCACCAACATACCCAAATTTTGACCCCCGCTAAGGATCTCACTAATTGGCATATCAAATACAGCCCAATCCAACACCCAGTGCAATACCATAATCGAGTCTAGGGGTTAGGTGTAATTTTCTAGTTTTGCCCAACAATCTCCAAGGTCTAGGGCATAACTGAAAAATGGTCCGGATTCAGTGTTTCAAGTAAACATACACACTACATGTGTTTCGGGTCTCACCCTGGCAAATGAGCAAGCTACCCCAACCAACTTGGCAGCACATTAGTGTCAGCCTTAACAAGATAAACCTCCGCAGGTCTATCCAATGGCTGAGAACATTGTAAACTAACACGAGTCTCGTAAGTGTCCAGTTTAAGGGTAATTACACAAAAACATACCAGATATAACATGAATCAATTATTTACTTTTATTCATTTACAATAAATGTCTAATGTACATCAATCTGATTGGAGCTAAGGGCATATATTGTCTAACAAATGGGAACAAAAACTATATCACGTCTTTGGGGAACCACTTGATCAAACCTGAACTAGATCATTGCCTTCTTGAAAAATCAGTATCTATGACCGTCAAACACTCATAGATGTCCCTACACCTCCCTTCTTCAAACCCTTTATCAATGAAAGTAGCAACATCACAAGGCCTGGTACGAGGGAGGTCCTCCAACGTGATAGTGAACTCCCCCAAGTGGTGATGAATGTGAGTTGCAAGACTCCACCAAGAACACATAATACTACCAAAACCCAACACATGGTTGTTAAAGTAAGAGCACATGCAATCCGCAAGCTTCTAGAGGCCGAGATTGAAGAGGTAAGCAATGTATATAGGATGGAAAAAGCATGATTCAACACCAAGACTGGAAGATCTCACAATGGGACTTAAACATCTTCAAGTGCAGATCTGAGGCCCATTATGGAACACCCATCTCTAAGAAATCCCCACTTGATCAAGTATAATAAAATCTAAGAGCAGCGTAGTTGCCTCCTCTCCAGTAAGAACTACATCCTCCTAATTAGGATTCACCAATACAAAATCTTTACAGGTTGCAAAGAAGGAGCCATGGTGATGAAATACAAGATTACAATAAAGACAAAGAATACAAGGAGTAAAGGACACAAAGAGCAAGAATGCACAAAGTTTACAATTAGTACACAAGAGCTCCAAAAACAATAACAATAAGAACAGGTAAAGAATGAAAAATTTATAAGGGGCTTAATTTATAAAGAAAAATAAAAAATCCTCATTGAACACGTGTCATTCAGAGAAATGATAGCTAACAGGCTAAGCCAAGATCGATGCTTTGTATGCTTAACCACCACCATTAAGATATCAAAAGTTCCACCATGATTTAATTGACAAGAAGTCCAAAAGTTTGAGGATCAATTTCTACACCAACGATACTTGTTAAAATTCAAAATTTCCAAAATCCAAACCAAAATACTAAAGGACATTGCCACTCTCCCCAAATTCTACGGATTATACTCCCTTCCCCATGACATGACCCACCCAAATTTTGCAAACCATACTCCCTGCCCCATGATTCTATGAACCATACCCCCTACACTGCAATTGTGACCACGACCAAGGAATTGTTCCTCTAACCACCCTCAAAAATTTGGGGGCCAATTTCTTTCAAAAATTCCTCAGAATTTTGGGGAATAAATTCTTTCAAAAATTTCTTGGAATTTTGGGGGCTAATTTCTTTCAAAAGTACTTTAGAATTTTAGGGGCTAATTTCTTTCAAAAGTACTTTAGAACTTTAGGGGCTAATTTCTTTCAAAAGTACTTTAAAATTTTATGGGCTAATTTCTTTCAATTACTTATAATTTTGGGGGATAATTTCTTTAAAAATTCCTTGGTATTTTGGGGTCTAATTGTCCTTCATACTAAAGGAAAATACCATGCTCATTTTTGCTCAATAGTCCACTCTTAATCAAGGGACTAATGTAAGGGAATAGACTTATATAATACAAAAGTATTTTCATGGACTAATCAGGGTAGTAGGACTACAATGGAGCAACCTAGGGACTCGATCCCAGAACCACCTAAAGAATATTCTAGAATTCTTAATCCTTGCTCACACACGAAGTAACCCCTAAGCACCTACGGAATATTCTAGAATTCTTGTCAATACACGAAGTGAGCCCTCCCTT